TAGTATTAGATCGCTCATGATATATATGTATATATATATATATATAAGTGAAACAGCAAATTGAGGGAGAAGTATATTATTTTGTTATTCGCCGAAAATAAATGTTCGGATTTTAACTGATATGTACAGTCTATGGTTATTACACAGGAAATACACAGGAACTCCGTATTCACTGGTCTCCAAATTACAGAACAATGTTATTCCCATGGCAGATATTTGTCTCCATCGTACCTTGCTCCTCCTGTCAACATCTTTTCTCTCGAAGGTGTCATTTTGTCATAGCAACAGTCGCAGCTAGCCGCTAGCCTTAGCATCTGTTAGCTTGTGATGCGCAGCTGCAGCATCCCCGCGTGGCTTCATCCTGTCATGGTTCGAGGACAATAAGCACAGCGGGGCTTTGACCAGGCTTTGACGCCACAGCGCCGAGGACGAGTTTGTGAGGAACAGTTTCACAGAAAGAAATATTCAAACCAAATCGCGTCTTAGTTTTCATCCCGCTGAGCGTGGAAACACTTCCGCCTGCACTTCCGGGCTCTTCATTCAGTGAATCCTTCCTGTGTGGCTGGTCGCTGCCGCCACCTAGTGTTCAAACAGCGAATTACTCACTGCGTGTACAGTCACTTCAACGTGTGTAGTATGTACACGTACCTCAAACTAAATACTACAAACAATCTTACTATCAATACTGCTTAATACACATGTTGACTGGCCACATGACGTAGTTACTCTTAACTTTTATTATTATTATTATAACAGTAGTTTTATTCAGATTCACCAACTACAACAAATACAATCAGTATTACTGTAACCTTCATCTATTACTGGCTTCTTTACGTCTTCTTGTCTTCTCTCTTGCAAGAGCAAGAGAGAAGACAAGAAGACAAGAAGACAAGAGTTCCTGAGACTAAAAACTGTACTTTTACTTCACTTCAACAAAACCATTTAAACATTTCAATATGGTGGTAAAATACATTAACACATGATCTGCATATTATTTAAAAAAATATTCAATTTATTGATTTTAAGGTGAAACATTTAAAGAAATACAAAAATGTATTGAAATTTAAATAATACTTTAGAGGTACAGTGTGTAGAATTTTGTGATATCTAGTGTCAAAATTGCATGTTGCAGCTGAACACCCCTCACCTCACCCTCTCCTTCCAAACATGAAAAAGAACCTTTGGTAGCCTTTAATTATCATAAAAACTCAAAAGGTGTTTAGTTTTTCGAGTCTGGACTATTGTAAAAAACATGGCAGCCTCTGTAGAGAGGGTCCCCTCGATGTAATTATAAGGTATTTAAATATAAAGGGCCTTTTCTGGGGTAAAGAAAACTACAATTCATACAATTTGGATGAAACGAACTAGTGAAAACATCATGAGGATTATTCTACATGACATTTCTGCCAATAGTTCCCTTTCCCCTATGAAATGTTGTAAATCATCTGAAAATTTAAACAATTGCTGAGATTAATAGAAATGAAGTGTTGAATATTGATATTATCTGTTTCCCACCTTGTTAAGTCATTGTTGATAATTATTGTGAGAAATCATTAACGTGATCAGTGTCTTCACATAGATCATTTATGATTAATAATAATATATAACTTAAGGCAAACTGAGCAAATTTGTGATTTCAGAAGAGTGTTTCAAACTGGTAGCCCTTCGTATGACTCAGTACCCATGAAGTAGCTCTCAGTTTCAAAAAGGTTGGTGACCCCTGATTTAGATGAAACGAATGAGTGAAAACATCATGAGGATTATTCTACATTAAATTTCTGCCAATAGTTCTCTTTCACCTAAATCTTACACACTGGACCTTTAAGTGAAGAAAGAGGTATAATTACATATTAAATAATCAAATAATAATCTCTTCAGCAGTTTATTCTTAAGTGGGATGAACTGATAAGGTTTAGCTCAGGCAGTGAAGGTTAAATACTGAGTGAAATGGAAGGTCACGCCACAATCGAAGAACCCCGATGGAAATACCAGTGCAATGCACTCTAATGATATTTGGGTCAAGTGGTAAGAATCACACGCAACGTACTTACCCTCAATGGTGACACAACCGACCCCCCCACCCCCCTTCTGTATGTCAGGACACGTGAATGAAGAGATGCATTATACACACGTGTGTTACTTATTCAAGAAAAAGATCCTGGAATGCTGTGATGCTCACACTTAAAAAAAGCACATGCTTATTATAAACACATAAACACTGTTACTTACTGACGTCACACTATTATTTTATTTCAGGGGGAATTTTTGTCCCTTTGTCCTCTGTACTTTTACTTAAGAACTATTGTTAATTTTCAAACTTAAATTTTACACACAATATATGAGTTTAAATCAGTTGTTTGTGTAAAATTAAACCAACCAGCTTTAAATAAAATGGTTAAAACTATAATATAATATAAGTAATGTATGTATATATGTATAATAACAAAAAAATAAACAGGAATATTGCGTTAAAAGTCATATTTTGAAGTATATCATGCTGATATATATACTTTAACTTGTACTAGTTTGAATGCCATACTCTCACATAGTAAATACTAAATAGTAAAAGTGGTCAGCACTTCTCAATGTGTCCTTTGCATTTATTTATGTCGAGGTCAATATATGTTTTTCAGGACATTTGAGAAAAATGGAAAAACCCCACATTGATGTGGACATTAGCTGTACCACTTCCATTGTGTCAGAGCAGGTTGGTGCTGCACCATGAAGTTGATTGTGCAGAGTTTGATCTCTGGGAGTTAACTCACCTGCACCCAGGCTCCACCCGCACCTGTCTATTAAAACAACAATGGTTATGATGCACTCGGGCTGTTTAAGGTGTGATTCATAATGGGTGAGATGTGAGGCACATTGGTTTAGTTTATCTCTGACGTCCTTGGTCTATATTAATCTTACGATGGTGAAATACTGAGAAAATGACAGTGTTCTAGACCTTAGAAAACTTTAGTTACTCTACAAACATCATCACTGCAAAACGTTAAGTTCACTGTTCATGAGAGGAAGTATTGAGTCATTATCGTTTAATATACTAAGGTTTGTTAAATGGTTCAGTCATGTTTACTTAAATTGTTTTAGAGGAAACACAGCTGAGTTCATAGCTGCCTCTAGTTCAGGGCCCTACTGTTGTGAATACAGGCTCAGTGTCATGGCTTATGTGGAGACAACATGTTAGTTTTAATGTTACTAGCATGAAGAACAAACATTAACTCTTGTGTTTGGAGATGAACCAATATGCACTGCACATCTTTGAATTTCATATGTTTTCATCTGCAACATATATTGTGTCACAGCAGTGATGCTACGCAAGGTTATTCAAAAAGCTAGCTCCACAGGATGAATGCATGTATTACTATTATTATATGTTCCTTATTCATGGTGTTGAATTATATCTGTTTTTATAAACCTCGTAGTGCTTTTTTAAAATCATTTTGTATCCAGATTTTTTTTTAAATACAGGATAAAGTCTGTGGTGTGGTATTATCATTTGAAATGATCTTTTATGCTATCATTTAATTTAATGTAATTTAATTATAACATAAAAGATAATTTTAAAAAATTGACAATATTATTTGGGATTCATGGTTTTTTGATTTTAATTAATGCTCTCTTTTCTTTGGGTTTGAAATGTGCTATATGAATACATTTTTTGTGAACTTTGATGAAAAGAGACACATGATGTAACACAGCTTTAAGTACATCGTGTTCTCTCCTAATATGCTCTCAGTCATTTTGGGATGTTTTCTTCCCCTGCCTGTGCACTGATGACGTCACTCAGAAACCCACCTATACCCATTCTGACTTTTCTGCGTCCATCAGGGGAAGTTAGACCCTCGGAAAGTTATACTCTCAGAATTACAAGTTCTGAAATCACTTTTTGCTGTTAACAAAGTGATACTAGTGAGGTTTCCTGAGTTCTACCAATGTTAATCAAATTTCTCACATTTCACTTGTTCTGTGCCTCTGCTCTTCTCACTGGGTTACAGTGGGCTGTGCAAAAGGTGCAGGTGAAGCTTACACCTATATGCCATACACTCTCACTTTTAGGGATTTTAGGGTCATTGTCATCAGAAACTAAAATTTGAAGTAGGACAAGAGCTGAGAAGTAAAATTTACATTCAATTTCAGGTACAGGATATGTAACGTGGAAATCAGTCTCTGTATGATTGTGGTGGAAGGTCCATGACAAAGTATTTCATTGCATCGTGACCTATATTAGTGGTCCTGTGCACTTTTTTCCCTTTGATGCATGGGTCTTGACTCTACAGTAAGAGTTCCTCTGACCTAGAAAAGAACCTCTGTTCCGCCTCTGAATCAACCCACTTGTAGCAGCCTACATTGAGACTGTAATGCAACATGAGGTCTGCAGCTAAGCTTCCTCCCCTCTGAACTCTTTTAATTCAAGATGTCATCAAATGTCCTCATATTTGACATTATTATGTATATGCTGGCACGCCTCTGTAACTTCCCAGGTCGCACTGGTTCTTCAGGATTTTTTTGAGGGTGTAGTAATTAGAGAAGCTGATGTGTGTCACCAAACACCTATAATTTGTGTCTTATTGAACGGCCTTTGAATTACATGCATTTATTTTCCTAAAATTTGTTCACTGTGCTAAATGATGCACTGAGTTCCCGTTCCTTTATTTTGCTTTATTCCTAAGCCAGGTGTTATTGTGCTGATTTTGTGTCATAGTGACGGTGGAAGGGAAGCAGTGACTGTCCATAATTTTCAAAAAATAAATTGTATACTTGGATATTTCTTAAATCTCTTTAAAATGTAAATGTTCACACACAGGTAATCACTTCACCTCATTCTGCTCCACCCACACTCCTCTTACTCTCACTGGGGGAAATGGGGGACTTTCTATTGTGGTGCAATATCTGCTTAATGGGCAAGTTTGATCTTTAGTTTTTTCCAAACTGGAAACTTCCTGTTTCTCTCAAACATATAAAAGCTGCTGTGATCAACACCTCTGTCAGCACAACCTCTCTGACTCCACCTGTGGACGAGCAAGACAATAACTCTGAGGGAAGACATGGTGTCAGTTAAAGCTGCGGCGATGGTGATCACACTCCTCACTGTTTGTCTCCTGGCAACAGAGACATCTGCAAGTAGGTTCCCTCTTTATCTTTGTTTATGAATGCATGTATTTTCCTGATTATTTTCCTGATTATTACACAAATTCTACAAAGTGCCAAATATCTCTTAACCTTTCCTTTTCCAGTATCTAACCTGTTTATCATTGTTATTATTCATCTCTCTTGTTCCACAGTGAATTACAAATGCTGTCTCAGATACATGAAAACAAAAATTCCATTTCAAGCAATCCGAGGATACTCCATCCAGACTCGTAAAGAGATGTGTCCCATCGATGCCATCATGTAAGTATCATATCAAGTAGCATAAGATGACATAATGAGGAAATAAACATTTCATGAGACAAAACTTGAGTGTTCATCATAAGTCTGTAAATATTAAATTCATTTCCTTCTTTTAAATCTCAGTTTCCACACAAAGAGGGGTCAAACGTGTGCCGATCCTAGTCAGAGATGGGTGATGGACTATGTCGACCATTTAAGGTGAGATTTCTCAAAGAAATTTGTCGTATAACAGACAAATAATGCAATTCTGCAGTGTGGGAAATGTAATGGTGAAGTAATAATAACTAATTTGATCATCATTGCAGGAATAAAGCACAAATGGTTCACAACAAGAACCCAGGAGCGTAGAAACAGACCTCGAAGATAAAAAGTCTGCTCATCGAGGGGAGACGATGCGAGTGCGCTTGAACCAATGGACTCTTCCATCTCATCTCAGCATGTTATCACCACTCCTATTTAACAAAACTGCTCATAATATAAAGGATTGTCATGCAAAACAAGCATCAGCTCAATTGTAAGCATTTCTGAAAAAAAGAATCATTGGCTCTGAATCTCTTCATGAAAACACTCCACTGTGTTTGATGTTAATCAGTCATTAATACAAAGTTCCCATTGTTTATCTTTGGTGAGAAATTCCAGCTCGGGAAAGTTTTGCGTTCCTTGTTCAAGGTTATCTAAATAATGTTGAAAGTCCTGTGATGTCAGCAGGAGGAAGTCAGTGGAGCCTTTCCTTCAAAGCTCACTGCAGAACAGGTATTTCTATGTTGACACATGGGCTCCTATGAATGCTGACATAAGCTGTGTGTTAGTGTAAGGCTGGGTCTAGTCTGCTGGTCATAATGATATATTGCACGGACTATTACAGCTGTAAACTGAGGTGTAATCATTTAATTTTGGAGCTATCATCGCTTAAGGAACAAAAAAAAACTTTTGAGCCAAGCTTTCCCACCTACATCAAACTCATATAATAACATTCTGTATCTGCATTTGTATTCACAATGTTTTAAATATTCAAAGCCTGCATTCTGCATTTCTTGGTGGCGCCATTCTATCAAAATGTTGTGTTTTACTTGAATTATTCAAACACGTTGTCTCTTCTTCCAACATGAACATGTTTGATAATTAAAAGCCTGGAAATGAATCAACAATATAGACACATAAGAATGAACACGGCTCTGTCACATCTCGATGGGTGAAACAGCTCAGTGTTCCTTTACTGTGTTAAGACTGAGCAACAATCACTGCAGCCACGTTGTTTATAGAGTATCGTGGGAAACAATAAAACAAGAGCACAACCACAGAAGACCTCGTCCATTGTTTTCTGTTTGTTTTGTATGTTTGATCAACATACATGATCTCAAGGCACTTGAACACTGGAACACAAAAAGAAACCTCGGGCAGAACCAGACTCCAGACTTTGGACCAGAAGCTCCTAATTCAAAGGAATGCTTCCACGGCGTTCTACTTGGTCTATAAGCACCGAAGACTATTTCAATATTTTTCATTCTAATTGACTATTTCTCATTAGTTTCTCTTTAAGTCTCTCATGATTGAAATGGGGGAGAAAGGAGAGGACCCAGGAATGGTTGTGTAACCCTCATATTTAAGCTCTGTCAGACTGGTTGTCATAATGAGAATAATAATAGTGATACTGTATTTTAACGAAACACATTTTAAGGTTGAGTCTCCTCTCGGCAGCAGACGTATGAAAACAGCAGCTTTCTCTCTACACACGAGACAGGAAGCAGCCTCCTCATGTTGAATCTGCCTTGTTCACTGTAACGTGTGGTATTAAAGAAAAGAAACATGTCTGCCTCTGCAGCCGTGCTATAATCAAATTATTAGTCAAACACCCAAGGGGGAAAACTCAGGGACTTTACTTTTATTTTTAATTTAATTTACAGGCAGGGATACTTTGTTCTTTTTATGGAATTGTCATTGTCTCATCTGGCCCCCGAGCCAGAGACTTGAGAACCCGGTGTAAGGTTAAATTAAACAGCTAAGCAAAAAAATTCAATAATAATGCAATGACAGAAGATTACCTTTAGTCTTATAATGATCAAATATCAATGAGGTATTTCAAACATATTCATTTTCTCAACATTAATTGGTATAAATATGTTTTTATGGAATTAAATAAGAAAAACTTTATTTATATAGTGATAAAAAAAAATGCAAAACTAAAATCATTTGTTTTTATGTCACAAAAGCGATAATCAAAACGTTTTGTAGAAACTTAAGTATGTGGAGCAGGAATGAAAGGAAATCCTAAAATAAAAAACAGGTGAAAATATAAATTTACTGTCGGTCACTTTTTGCTTTGATCACATTTCTTCTTATGTTGCAGAATAAACCATCGGATCTGTTATACATGATTTAAAAAATATTTGAACACTAGATGGGGGTAGATTTCCTTTGCATGTGAATTGGTGTGAAACCACGTTTCAGTAAAACTTATTTTATGATTTTAATTAGTTTGAAAAGTTGTTTTTTTTCTCCTGCAGTCTGCTAAACTTCAGTGTAGACGATTCACTGCATGTCTAATCTGTGTCCTTCACTTTCAACACCTTTGGGTTTTCACAGCTCATGACTTTTTTTTTTAAGAATTTAAACTGCTGAAAATAACACTTTAAAAAAAATCATATATATGCATCATGTCCAACCCACGGACATTAGCCGTAGCTGCTGGCAACACCATCAAAGCTGAACACTGAGCGTTTTCTCCTGTCGCATGAGTCCGTCCCAAATGACAGTCCTGAGCCACGCTCGCAGCCACTATTACATCACCTCCACTGTTCTGCACCAGTGCGCAGAGTGCTTTTCTATGAATAATACAGAGAGACAGGGGAGAGAGGGACACGGACATGGAGCATGGTTACTAAATGACAGAGGGACTGCATACTGTTGAATAAAGAGCGATGGAGACTGTGGAAACTGGAGTTAAAGCTTGACTAAATTTGAGTTTTATGTTAGTCGCACAGTAAATAATCACATCAGACACTAATGCATGGGTTCTGATTTAACTTTATTGGAATTATTCATGACTTGTCCGCACTTCGTGAGAACATGCAACCACATTCCTACGTATATAACAAGCGTGTGGGCCGTGTGTTTACACAACATGAGTTACGCACACAGGACACGGTGTCAGAGAGTTGTTAGAGGAGGGTAGAGTGAAAAATGGCGGCAGCGGCGTGGCACGGTCCCAGACTGTATGAAGGAAGACAAGGTTATATACTGCGTTTCCCCAGGAGGGAGCAGGCTTTCATATAGGTGGAAAATAACACATACTCTGAGACCAGCAGACAGGTCCCCTAAATCATAGCATAGATAGACACACACACACACACACACACACACACACACACACACACACACACACAGAGACAGACAGACAGACAGTGGCACGCAGGAAACCAGACAGTCTCTCATGAAACTCAAACACATAATGAGACATCCTCAGTCACAAAGGTGAAAACAATCTTCTTTCTGCGTTTTCCAAAATTGCTTATTTCCTGGCATTTGCTGCAGAACAAGGACATTACAATACATGAAATGTTCTTAAGGAAAAAAGAGTGATTATATTTTTACTGGTGCTATAATCTTTCTACTTTTTTCAAACTTCCTTTATCCCTTCTGGTTGTCGGCTGCTGCTTCTCGGCGGCGCAGACGCACAGTTAGCACGGAGTTAACTATGCTCGGTATATAATTAGACAAACAAAAAAGAGAGGGATGAAACATCTAAAGGAGAGAGACTCCAAATGATTACACATTCACTCTGCTTCCTTCCCCCTTGCTGCACACATACCCACCAATTAGAGGAGAGGAGAAGGAGGAGGACGAGGAGGACAAGCAAGCAGCCAGAAGTCTATTTGCGTCTCTATCTCTCTCTCCCTCTTTTCCTCTCTTCCCCTGAAGACTCCCAGCACCAGGGAGGGAGGAAGAGAGGAGAAAATAGAAGTAAATAACAAGAAGTACATAAATAAAGAAATCGGAGGGCTTCACATCCGGTCGGCTGATTGGTTGAGTCGCGAGTCAGGCAGATCTGGGCCACAGTTGCACTCATTGTTCAGTGAGCTTTTCTACACAGTCCAACCCAGCGACAGCAATGAATGTTGATTGTGACCTTTGGTCTTTGGGTACAGTGGGAACACAGTGTCACTTCACTGGATGTGTGTCTGTGTGTGTGTCTTCGTCTTTGCATGCGCCCACTTGCCCCCTTCTGCTCATTTTCTTCCTTGACGTCATCGTTGCGAGCCGCGGGGCACAGTCAACGGTCGATGGTTTTTACGTGATCCATACCAAACTCACCGACAGCGTTGAATGTTCTCCGAGGCAGGCAGGACGGCGGGGACGTGATCGTGAATCGAGCTGACAGAGGGGACGGGGGCGCAGGAGAAGGGACGACAGACAGTGAGACGTGCGTGGGTGAGGGGGTGGGGGGGTCGTGGGGCCAGAGCCAGGGACGTCACTCATGCCGCGGAGGTCAGGTTCGCACAGCACAGGGACATAATGACACAGGACAGTGGCAGAATGAGTCCACTGTCCACAGGGCAAAGGCAGTTCTGGTTATGCACACAGAGCACATCATGAAGTGTAATAAGCTGGAACATAAACAGAGAGGACCTGCTTTACTACATTACCACCACATCGTTCATCACAGGAGGGAAGTCTCCAGTTCAAACCAGGACGTGACAGCATCTGTAACAGAGGAGGAAACTATTAGCACTGATATTTTATTTCAGGGTCAGTTCACCTAAAAAACACATTTTCTCCGTTTCATTTGAATGTTTTTAGCCATGGAGCAATAGAAAGGAGGTAAACAGTCGTCTGTGGCTTCTTAGAATAATCCACAGACGACACTGTCAACTGTTTTCGCAGCTACAATTCATTCAGGAGAATAAAAACTGAGGATTTCTCAAAGTAAATCTGAAGCCTTTTTGAAATATGACCTTTCTATTGATAATTTAAATGTAATTACCTCCGTCAAGGAGGTTATGTGTTCGTCTGAGTTTGTTTGTAAGTTACCAGAATTCTGCAAATACTAATCAACTGATTTTCTTGAATTATTGTAGAGGGTTGGGGCATGACTCAAGAAGAAACTTATTACATTTTGGTGTCGATTGAGGAATTTTGTGTTTGAAAATTGGCACAGATCCAAATAAAAATCCAGGACTAGAGAATTTGAAAGTGATTTCATGAGGGGACTGTTGCAGGGGCCTTGGCAGGGTATGGGCTCTACTTAGTTTTTCAATGCAATTAGCAACAAAGACAAAATCCCATTCATCTTCATTGTTTTGGGATGGTAGATAAAACATCTCAGAGATAGATACAGTACCTCAAACTCTGAGCAAATAAAACCGAAGCTCCAAAGTATGCAAAATGAATATGCTTGTTGTGCTAAAAGTCTGAAACCCTCTCTCTGTGCTTTGCTCAGAACAGGCTGCCACGGTTCTTATGGATATCTAGTCCAGAGAACAATGCGGTGATGTCCTACTGTGCAGCCAAGCTTTTTATACCCCAGCCACCGCCGGGCCACAGGCTGAGAGCTCCCATTGTCAGAGGCAGACCATCACTGGGGAACAACTACCGATAGTGTCAGTGCACTGCCATACAGAACGGGGCACTGACGTCAGGATGGTAAACGCTGATCTATGGTCATTCATCGGCTTAGTGTGCTGATGTCATCGAGCGAGGTAGAACAGAATCCATTACTCTGCTCGGGCCGGCAGGCCGACGTCAGACCAGAATGATAATAGACTGGCTACAATGGATGAGTAATGCTTCACATTATCGCAGCTATAATTCAGAAAGTCATAAAATAAGACAATTTGGTTTTTGTCCCGTGAGCAGATCGGGGTCTTTGAATAATTGCCCCTGCGCTCTCACGCGGCAGGCTCCCTTTTATGGATATGCAAAAATGTTCAAATTAATTTGTAGGATCATAGAGGAAGAAATATGTCTGACGGTAGGTAGAGAAATGATGTCTAATAATGTAGTAAAATATTTATAGTTACTCAGTAAATAATATAAAACACTATGAAGTCTTTTTTGTGAGCTTTTTTCTTCTATTTTTTTGCAGCATGTGAATGAGAAGTCTCTTTTCTCTCAGGATGAAGCAGAGCAGCTTCAGATAAGAGACTAAATTCATAAGCCATATTACATCTTACACACACACACACAGACACACAGACAGACACACACACACACACACACACACACACACACACACACACCTGGTCACACACACACACACACCCCCCCCCAGAGGAATGTTTCGCACTGATTACCGTGTGCTGACTGAATTCAGTTTGACTTGGCAGAGAAGTCGGTGGAAAATTTAAGCCAGGGATGAAACATNACACACACACACACACACACACACACACACACACACACACACACACACACACACCTCACCCCACAATGAGACCTAAAATGAAAAATAGGCGAAGGGTCGAGGGAGAGGAGAAAAGGGGGCTTTGCCATGGCAACCCTAGTGTCAGCCAGCCATTTCTTCTTAATCCCCCCCAGTTCAATGTCGCGCCCTCTGAGGGACCCCCCTCTCCACAGCTGAATATTTCTTTTGTGTTGAGGGACTCTGTGTGTGTGTGCGTGTGTGTGTGTGTGTGGGAGGGATGGAGGGATCACAGAGGGGGGGGACTGGGATTGAGGGGGGGAATCATAGCTAACCCAGTTTAAATGGGGGGCTGTGTTGCAGGCCACAGAGTTTCAACATTACACCGGGGTACAAACCAGAGATCAAATCACACACACACACACACACACACACACACACACATTTAAACACTATATTGATGGCGGGAGATAATCTTTTGAAATAGCAGATAATTACACCATATGGCAAACAGCCGGGCCTTTCCTCCACCGACAAACTGCACTTTATTATTTTTTTTCTCTCTTCTGCTGTGAAACTCTTCATGGTCTCTTGTTCTTGCCCGAGCAGGCCTCTCTACATTACTGACAAAAGCGGTTTTCGAGGAGTGGGTGGGGAGAGGCGTCAGCTGCTAGACAAAATAAAAAGGCCTCTATTTGTTCCTAACAATAAACGTCTCCGTCTTTGGAGCTCCTCCACAGCTGCAGCCAGATAGGCTTCTAACTGCAGACTAATAGAGAGCGATGTCTCCTTCCTCTACTGTAAGCAGATTTACGTTAATAGTCTTGGGCATTCTGTGATGCTACTCCACTAAGGAAGAGGACAAAAGAATGCGACACATCGTGAATAACAGTCAGTAAAAGAGAAAGGAAGGATTTTATGAACGATTTTATGTGTTTAAATGATGGTGCACAGTTACCTGTTGGATAATCTTCATGGAGTTCAGGAGGCACGACACAAACACCTACAGACAGAAGACAAACACAAAACTGAAGATGAATTTACCAGAAACAAAAGGGAAAGCACCCCTACACACAATTCACTTGATTTGTCATTAGAAAGTTTCCTAATCATCAGACGATTAAGGTCCAGCGCATCCTCCGGAAATCCCAAAAACGAGTTTTCCCCTGAGGCTTGAACGATGGGAGTGGGCGGAGGAAGTGCCAGCGGCGTGTCTCCGAGGTGGTCTGATGTGGCAGTGGGTGAGGCTTTAATGTAGCTGCATGTCCACTCCAGTGTATACTGTACATTCACTCGTAATGACTAACAGACCTGCAGTCTGCCTGCAGGGGCCCCACATGCCACCCCATGCCTACACACGCATATGCTCCACTTTAATGGCAGCCTTCAGACTTTGAAGTGTGCTGTGGTGCACACGCACACAAAAAAAAATTGTTCATAAGAAGGAACAAATATGACTTTGATGATCTGCAGCGCCCTCGTTTGTCTAATATTTGACAATTGTGGGTTGATCATATACAGTGGGCTTTAAAATTAATTCAAAATACGGACGAAAATTATAGTTTGGCTGCTTGTGGTGGTTCTATTTGGAGCATACATAGATGTAAGGTTTCTAAACATCTGGCTGTGATACTGTATGTGCCATAGGCTCCAGACATAAAAATAGACTCTGGCTTAATTTCCACTTCTTTGCAGCGTTGGTGAATTTATGCATTTCCTTGCTTTATAGCGTTTTTCTCTTTCTCTGTAGCAAGACACTTCAAAGATAAAAGAGAAAGATGATCTCCGTCCTCATAAACACACTCAATGTACTGTTCATTTAAGCTTCTGATGCCTGTGACTTAGAATAAAGGAGCACAAGTGCTTTGTGCCAGTCTAGTCCACTGGAGAGCAAAGGGCACAATGTGACACAAGGTGCAGAGTCTGTTCAACAAGTGTGAAGACATAAACCAAAAACAAATGCACCAAGTTAGTGCCTTGTGACTGATTGGCTGGGTGGGGTTGTCGGGTGACCCCTGACCTTTTTAACCCAGAGGAATGTTGTCGTGCTGGTGCGAGTATTGTTCCAGCCTCCCTGAGGAGCCCCAGCCGAGCATCAGATGAATGCGAACACTGAAAGTTCCTGAGGGGCTTCTCCTTTGCCCTCCCACCTTAAAAAAAGACCTCTTTCACCTCCCTAACCCCTTTCTCTTCGGCTCTTCATCCTAAGACCTCAGCAAACAAAAGGTATCAACAGGTCTGAGAGTGGGGCTGTTGTTGTCAGCCTGGAGTGCCGTGGAGGAAAAAGCGTCTAAACGTGGGTGCCGGGCCGACGCTCCTCGCTGACCTAAGTCACCAACAAAGATGCAGTAAGAGACATCTAAGACATCTAATCACCCAATCACTCATCAAATAAATCACAGTTTTTATTGGTCCAATGTCCAGATCTAAGAGATGCGTGTATCTTCAGGCAGCCTGAGAGTCTGGCTCTAGAGGAAGTCACCAGCAGTGGAGGGAGGCTGACAGATGAGAGGGCCAGACAGACAATTACTGGCCAGGTATGTCCTTTATACCTACCTAGGGCTGGTTAGAGGAAATGGAGGGATTTATGATGTCATAAAAAAGTGCCAGAAGACTAGTGCCTGAGAACAGGTTGTCTCTGGAGCCATAAAAAGACTCCTGCAGCTTCCGCTCCCTCCCCCTGACTACCACCCGAGATGATGACGCTATAATCTGAGCGCCACTGAGTTAAGGCAGACAGTTGTATATATATGTATATGTATAATTATAAGTGTAAGCATGTAATACTGTGGTAATAGTTGGTAATGACCAGCATGTGAATGAGTGATTAAATAGTAACTGTGTGACTGAAAAATAATATATTTAAGCTAAATACTTGTACTCAAGTACTTTGAGAGGTTTGATTATCCGACACTAAGAATCTACATTTTCATATTGTGGTAGTTTATACTAACAGAAAAAAAAATGTTTGTTTTGTTTAACCTGTAAAATGCTAAATAAGCTCGTGCAATGTGTTGCACATTTTATTTAGTAGTAGCCAACTCAGTCGTATTAATATTTTAAAAAACACAAATCCAAACTTTTAACATTACAAGGGACAGTTCTTCTGAAATGCTGTTTCTCATTATTACCTGAAGTACATTTAACGTACATGTGTAGTAAATAATTATAATATTTATTTGCTTTGACATACATTATTTAATGTTCAACTATTTTAAATTGAAGTTTTGCCACATAATCAGTTTACATATATGCAGTACAATAATTTTGATCACACATACGGAAAAAAGCCTGAAACATAAATTCTAAAAAATATATATTTAATGAAACTTAATGATACTGGACTGACCCATCATCATCTACATCATTAAAATCCTCCTTTTTCACCAACCTTCTCTTTACAGTTGAAACCACGACAAAAACAACCGTAACACAGGAAACATCTTGAGCACGAGAGGCACCATCTGCCAGCTGAAACTAAGCAGGTGTAAGGAAGAGGAAGACTGAAGATGTTCAGTGTAGACATAAAGAACGGCCTTTCCTCTTTGCATGCACACCAAACACACACACACTGCTCCTCCTACTACAGAAAAGCCAGACTCTCACAGTCTCGGAGCTTGTTAAAAAAAGGAAGAGAGAAGATGGTTATTTGCTCTAAAACTTCACTAAGGAGGTTTCCCATTGTAAAAAGGAGTGGCTGCACAGCCCCGTTCCCTTTCATCCCTCTCCTTCAGACACGCTGCCTTTGTCTCATGGGGGGGAGGCAACAACCATCCTCCCTGCTACGCTACACTGGTCAAATACCTGGGGACAACCACTGACCTGGTGGGAAAAAAAACAAGAGGAAGAGGAGGAGAAGCATGAGGAGGAGGAGAGGAGGGGTCTAATCTGGTGTTAATCTGAGGTACGGTGAGACTGACCAGCTCAGAGAATAAATAAAACCTGTAATAAATTCTCAAAAAGTAAAGATGAGGGAGCGACAGAAGAATATGAACGCCTAGGGCCGGATTACACAACATATTATATATGATTTTATGAATTTAAATCAAATGCTTTTCTTTCAGTCAGTGCTCCTCTTTTTTCTATTATTAAAAGGTAGTGACTGTATGTGTCCAATTAAAAACCCTGAGGTTAAGGGGGGTTGGTCGTTTTTCCTTCTTTTTCTCCCCTCCTCTCAGCTCTGAACTTTCATGCCAGCTCAGCAGAATGAAGGCAGCTCCTGTATACGAGGCATTGTATAGGGGGTGAAGCGAGTTTAAGTCCTCCCCGAACCCGACCGCAGCTGGCTGAATGTAAAGCTTTACGTTCCAGTCCGCGTAGACTGCCTCGGCAACCAGACCTCGCTGTCACACCTCATAAAGCTGAGCTCAAACTGCGGGGTTGTGTTTAAAGCCAGGGGGGGGAAAGATAAGGCAAAATAAGGACAAATAAGGAGGAAAATATGAATGCATCCATTCAAGCAACTGCTGAGAAAAAGAGTGAAAAGGCACCTCGACAAAAGCTCTTCAGCTGAAACTCAGATGGAATGTCTCCAGTACACTGAAAAAGAAAATATACTTTCGGGACAAATTGCAGCAGGCAACATAAGAAACTGAAATCGCCATTGTGGGAACGTTAAGACCATAATCCTCTCTTCTTATGTCTAGTTTTTGCTTAGCTGTCGAGAAAGGAGCGAGGACCCACAAGTTTATTTTCAACAGTCCACAAAGAATGCCTGTCATTTCCTGGCATTCCCCACTTCCATATGAAAGCCCCCTTTCCTTTAGGAACAATGGGAAAGATTCCAAAATTTCCATGGGGACTTTCTTGCCGTGTATTGTATCTCTGTGATACAATGGCGAGCATGTTGCGACAGAATTGAGACAGGCTGTTTTTCTCAGCTGTGACAAGATTGGGACAAATGAAATGGGGTTTTTTTTGTCTTACAGCTACCACGCGTCACGATAAAAGCGGCCGCACCACAGCTGCACCATCTCACAGATGAGCTGAGAGTGAAGTCTGATGGCCAGATCTAGTTTTGACAAGTCAAATCTGTTATGTCTCACATCGAGGATCTGTGGAGGTTTCTAAATGTAAGAGTCAGCTCTGCGTTAAAAGGAGCTTTTGATTCGCCAGAAAAGTGTCTGACTTCATCACGGCTGAAATCAGAATATTTCAGAGAGCAGCTGTTTGGAGTTTAACAGGTTTTAACAAGTTTCCCTCACCTTTAATCACTGTTCCATAATCCTGAAATTTATCTCTAACACAGATAACGCACACTAACACACACACACACACACACACACACACACACACACAGAGACAAAGACACACACACACACACACACAATCACACTCAAGAGTTTCTTAATTGACCAAAAAGAGAACGTTAAAAGTGGAAAGAGTTCAAATGCCATGTGCTCCTGAACAGTCCAGTGGGCTCTTGAAAGCCACCTGGCCTGACCCAAGCGGACCTGAGCCCTTGGCTAGACAAGAAGTCAGAGGTCATCCACTCATCTAGATAGGCAGTATGTTGCGATGCCTGAGGCGGGGGGACAGGGGTCTCCATTACCTAACCTTTCCATTTAACCCAAAACTGCAAGGGTGCACACAGAGGAGCACAAACACACATATGGACACAGGTTGATGCTGCTATGAACTCATTCAAACATTAAAATTGTAAGGTAATTTACCTGAAAAACATGAGTCTGAACAGCTGCTGTAAGATTTAACATTAATGTGGGAAAAAGATAAAAAATACACAAATATTAGACCCAACTTTTCTCTTGTAAGTTCATGATCCACTGAGAATCTACGCTTTTTTATGTTTTCCAGATGGCTAAAAAAGAAGTAATAAAATAACTTTGCACATTGTGTTTGAATGACTGAAGAGAGGAGGAAGTGAGTGTAGAAGCTTTTTTCTTCCTGCGGATCTGTGTGTTCAGTGCTTTAATGGCAGCAGGGACAGGACTGCTGGGAGTCATGTGACGGCGAGCTGGGACTCCCTGATGCTAACAGTCTTGCATTCTCACTGACTAACAAAAGAAAAACTACAGATACATGATTTTTTCATTGGAATTGAGAGAGATGCTGTGCAACTGTGGAGGAACAACTGCGATCATGCGGTTGAGAGCCTCTCCGCTGTGATAGCAGGTTGCTTCTCGGCGTAATTGCAGGGTGCAAGCTGATGAAACCCATCCACATGTGATAATGAGCTACGCAGGAATGATGATCATAGCTTCAGCAGGAGATGAGATAAGCCAGCATCCAACCACCCCTCTGCCCACATTATCGTTATGGCAGGAAGACAGTGGCTTTTGCTCCATTCACTCAATCCCCACCCTGATACTCTCTGGGAGCTACTCGAAACTGAATTAAACAGATATGCACTTGAACATTCGCTGCTCTTTGCTGCTGTGAAGAAGGCGATTGCTGCTTCTGCTCCTCATGAGGGACAAAGCCAAAGTGAATTATGTGTAACTCGGCCCTGAGAGGGACGGAAGTGAGGCTATCGCAGCTGATCACATCAGCACCCATCAGTACTGTTCAGTCACCATGCACACAGCTATATATTGAGAAAACTCTTGAAAGATTTTTATGTAAAAGAGACTGAACTCCAATAACCTGTCAGCAGTCTGTAAATCGTCGCTTTCGCCTTAAAGTCTATGCATTTGTATTTTTCATTAAAGCACAGTGTGTTCAATCCATAGCCAGTAAAATGTAGTGCTGCACTAAGCGTCTAGACCTACGATATCCAGATGGCAGAAGAATTTATGGAGAGTGCCTCATTAACCTTAAGGCATATTAGTGCTTGGCACTGCAAGCTGAGAGACCAAGCACGCAGTTTCTAAAGTCTCTTTAAAAAAATCCTGTCTCAGCTGCATTTAAACTACCTGCAGGGTCAGGAGTGAAGTGCCACGTTTGGCCACTGAGGTGAGTGTGTGACGCTCATGATAAAGTACGTTCATTTGGTCAGTGTGCATCAACTCAAAAGTACCCACCCTGAAAATGGCAGTCTGGCTGGGGTTTTTTTTTTGGCCATGTGCTACAGGCCCAAATTCTGGGAGTCACTCAGATGCACAAAGACAGTTTCCATGAATATGTGCGCAAATCCATGTGCGTGTAGTCTGCGCACTGATGCAATTTCTCTCTGCGTTTAAAAAAAAACCTCACATGGATAATGATGCACAGTAGTTCAACGTGAAATATCTCAGCTGCACCAGTCTGATCCAGTGTCTGGTCTTATTTGTTCTGTGGCCACGTTACGCACCCATCCACAGTGAGGGATCATGAGTCACGGCTCGGTGAGAGACGGGTGGCGGCTCTGAATGATCGCTGTCTGTTTTCTGCTCTTCAGGTGTGTCACACGGACTCTTTTTTTTAGGAGAGGGAGGCAGGAGGGGACTGCTGCTGTAATGTCGATACAATGACAGATGGTCCTCACAAAGCCGGGGCGCATTGTTCTGCTGAAAAATAATAGCCACCATTTATCAGCGCTCACCGACTTCCAGGCCCAACAGGAGCAGGAGACTGATGAGTGAAATGAATCAAAGTTATATTGATGAGTCGACTCCAGCCATGATCCCGGCGGGGCTGCCACTGGCTGCTTTACGCACACATCGCTAAAACTTTCCAAAGCAACGAAAACAGCATTTTCTTTAGTACACCGTGTACCATCGACGCGTCTGGCACATGCGGTTTAAAAGTTGAAGTGTGCGTAAAAAAGGATTCGTCATGCACATACGCGATCGAGAGTCACGCTTTGCCTCGAGTCAGACGGATGTCTTTACGAAACTATCGCTTTAATCATCTGCTGGCATGTTGAGCAAATTCACACGAGCTGATTTTAGAGACGTGTAAACCGCCTGATTGTGCCGAGCGCCAGCCCCGACCCCATCACACATTATCAGAGTTTCACGTTCACTCCTTCAACATATTCAGCAGAATAACCATCCTTTTTTTAAAAATAGATGATTATATTAAAGAAGGATGGTTGTCTTTGATCCAATTAAAGCGCTAATTTGCACATATTCGACAGGATTAAACAAAAAGCATGCCTCTCTACTTTAGTTTATAGTTTTTGCATTTTACATGATGCATACTCACAAATTGTTCCTTGTACAACTGAGGGAGGATTCACTGATGCCATCTCTTCAGCTCTGCCACAGAGGATGTTTTCACTCTCATCACCTCCATCCGACACCAACTCCACACCGACTATGAACGAATGCCTACCCGATCCACAGATTACGTCCGTTTGAGGAGGCAGGAGGGAGGGCATCCGGTTTACAGGGATCACCGGGATGACCAGGATTGGCTCAGAGGAGATAGCTTGATGAGACGCGCCTCTGCCATTGGACGCCCCTTGCAGCGGGGGTGGGGGGAGGCGGCCTGTTGTTGCATTATTCAGGAGAATCCGGGTGGGGAGTTGGAGGAGGATAGGGCAAAGCGGCACATGCAGACAATGCCCTATGTCTGAGAAATCCACATCTCATTGGTGGACTTATCCACTACACAGTTATGGCTTCCAATAATCTCTTCATATGGACCAAAATGGAGCACTTATGTTGAATCTGTCTGTGGATGTGATTATAATGACCTCAGAGGACTTAATATAGGCTCTGGGATCACTGTAATATCCCCATAACGACTAAAATGTCCGGCACTAAAAAATGATGTAGAATATAGATGAGTCCTGACATTTACACCAGTAAAACAATTATTTATATGTATGCCATTTTTTAAAAGATTAATTTGGCAAAATACAATGTGATGGACTAACCAGATGGAAGAGGTCAACTATAAATAATCAAACATTATTATTGCAACATCACTGCTCAGGAAAGTCTGTGCGTGTGTTTTGTGTGTTTGTGTGTATTCGTCCAAGCATGTGTGTGTGTATGGGATCCCGAGAGTGTGTGTGTTACTGCTGTATGTAGGCTACGAGAGGGCTGTAACTGCAGAATTTTCCACACAGGAGCAGAGGAGGAAATGGTGCATGGATAATTCTCTCTTCAGATCCTCTGGTACTAGCTCAGAGAGTACTCAGCTGAATCAATACTGCTCAAAGCTTTCTCATGTTCCCCTTCTCACATCAGTGCTACTGTTGGGAGGCAGCAGAGTCCGTGGCGGTCCATTTTTATAGGCATCTTCCAGGGATGATGCTTTGCATTAAAATACTCCACCACTCCCTCTGTATATGGGTCATTATGATGCTAAATCACCCTTGACCTACGGGCCTCTGGCACAGACACATACATAAAATGATTCTCATCCATGATACAGACTGTGGGTTGTTAACCTGCATACATGAGCTGGTGTGTGAGCAGACGGAGCAATCCTAATAACCACAGCGGGGGCTCTTCTCTGACCAGTAGCCATGGTGATTGAACACATTTCTGCACACAGCAGAAAGGCGGTCTGTCTGCGCTGCACCACACAGGCCTTTATTAGGCCCAGACCCCGTGGACTGGAAGGAAGGAAGCACCAAGTGGAGGATCACACCCATTTCATTGTGACTCTACAATTTTATGACTGTCAAGAGGCCATCGACCACAAATTAGTTCTTTTTTTGGAAGGCTCTCTGCTCTTGTCTCAGCCAGGCCGATAAAATAGCACACTCAAATCTCAACAAAGCGGCACATCATCTGATTATTGTGTGAATTTGATGGCTCATTTGCATAACTGGTGGGAATGATGCTCTCAGAAGTATAGCACCTAGATTTATTCAGTATTCAGTCCAATTCCAAACATCCAATTGAGAGCACCAGCCTTGGCTTGATTTCCTTTAAGCTTCTAATCTCTCTTTCCTCTTAATTTAGCTGCAGTTTCAATCACAGCCCTTTCACAAATCTAACCGTGTGGGTGTGTATGTGACTGCTATCATGTGAAAACCCTATAATTCCATATTCACTGCAATTCATGCTTTCTTTTTAATTGGAGGGTCATATGGTCCTCTATGGGTTTAACAAAATGGAGCTACTTCCTGATAAAGTCCTTTTCATAAGAAGTCTTTAAGATGTAACTTTCCGATGGTTAATAAAACTGTTATAAGAATTAAGTTACCAGGCTGTGAAATATCCCTGTGGCTGCTTTACCCATTAGTATTATTTTTGATATTTATCAGTGTTATTATTACTTTCTATTGCTTTCATTGTTTTTTCCCCCAAAGAGAATAGAGATCCATTGTAGAACCCCATGGATTCCTCACATCTCCTACACATTTATTATGTCTTTTTTTTCATTATCTGGGTTTTATGAATTTTATTTCAGAGCAAATAAAAACAAATCACCACTTATGTTATGGAACATTACCCGGAAACTGGACAGTAATATTTAGAAGATTCCTAGAATTTTTTTTATTAGTTTTAAAAAAAAAATATGTATAACCCCAGGTTTACAACAACATTAAAAGTACATTCCATCCTATTAGTGGCTGACTAGTAACTGCGTCACTCTGAAGCAGGCCACTTACTTTACACTGGATTCACCGAAACAGTTCTTGTACAATGGTCACAGTATAGTAGAAGTGGTGCAATGACACAAGTCATTTTTCCAGTTTTGATTCTTCTGCCATTTATAATGGATTATTTTGAGTATATTGTTTGAGCGACTGAATGATGGAACCTAAAAACCATTATTGTTAATGATCTGTGAAGCATTAGTGAATGATTTATCAACAAACTTCAAAAAGTAGTAAATGGTAAAAGATATAGTTAACTGACATCACTCATAAAATCTTCTTAAAATCAATCTGATGAATCCAGACCTGTGTTTATGGCTCTCAATAGTGATGAAAAGATAAAATGTTGTTGATGAGGCCTATGTGCTATTTATTTCTGCAAACATGTGAGCATGATCTAGAAACAAGCCAACCCTGGACCTGACAAAAATGGAAAGTGTCTGATGTGCAACTGTCAATTTCCATGACAACGTATTAAGTTGAGGCTTAAAATCAGGGCTGTGCCATACTGTGCCTACTAAGAGTGACATCTCCAACTGCTTCAGTAATGAGCTGCCTAACATGCTGTCATCCTCTACAGATGGAGTACATACAGTATGGGCCACTCAACACTTTTGAAAATCATCCAGTCAGAAACATTATTTTTAAAAGAACAGTGAGACACTTCCCCCATTTCCAGGCTTCATGCTAAGCTAAGCTAACAGCTGCAGGCTGTGATTTATTCGCTTTCATCAAGCAAGCAAATAAACATGTTGCCCAAGATGCCAAACAATTTCTTTCAAGTTGTAGTCTCTGAAACTTATAGGCACTTTAACCTCAAGATAAACATGCATCTGTCCAGCATACATGCTTAAGTGATTTGGGTGACTGGAAATTCAGATATGAACTGCTTCCAAAAGTGAACAGGCGATATGACAACAGTGTTCACTCTTTTTTTTTTTATGTCTAAACGCAAGTGGCTCTGATTATCATTGGACACATGCAGGGTTTGTTTACTTGATGGGTCAGAAAATCTTTATATAGCTGTCGTGGTTAACTGTTCTCATATAGCTAATTGCGAACCACAGTTTGAGCGCCTTATCTCACAACAATCAACAGTATGGCACGGTCACGCCAACTCAGGGCCACCTCCACAAACCCAGCGTACAATCCTGCCATCATGGATGCCTCCTGTTGGGTTTCATTCTTGCTCGATGCCAGGAGCGAATTCTCCATCTCAATTAATCAATGAGTTTCTAATGGAATGCTTCCCTTCAGGATGAGGCCCATCACAGAGGGGGTTGAAGTCAGTGCTGTCGGTGAAGCCACTCTGATTGCCTGAATGCACTCCCAGCTTTGGAGTCACTGCAGATGTCTGCTAATTGTGGTGATTATGGGGAGCGGAGGGGGGTAGGGATATGTAATGAATTTCCCATTGCTTTCATGCCTCACATCCTTTGGTTATGTGCATCTGCTATACAAGTGAAGCATCCGCAGGGTTTGGAGACGGACAAAAGTTACATGGGGGATTGGGCATGTGCCTTTGGATGGGCATCCATTCTAACACCAAGTGCAGCCAGATTGGGTCCATTTATTCTTTTAGTTTTGTTGGAGGTTTTAATTCCTTTCCTCTTTTCTCTTATCCCCTTCAATTCACTCCTCTGCTGCTCCATGGTCTTTACATATGTCTGACTGTGTGCAGGATTTCTAAAAACCTTTTATAACCTTTCTCACTGACCAAAATTAGCCCCAACTTACATTCATCAAGTCAATTTCAACTATCAAACTGGAATCCCAGATTTTTTTTATGGGGCATTACAATATTAATAACTCTATTTCCTCACACAATAGGCTAGCTCTTTCTCCCATTTCCAGTTTTTATGTTAAGGTGAGCTATAGCTCACCAGCTACATGGCTATAACATTACATTTAACAGACAAATATAAAATTGGTATTATTTTCTCATTTGACTCACAGGAAATGTTTATGTTATGTATAAAATATAAGAAAATAAATTAATGTTACAGCCTGAAGAGTTTCAAGGAAAACTGCAGATGGTTTCGAAAATAGCAACTTAAACCATTTAACTCAAAGTATCTGTGACATACTATATAGTGCTATAACTTAAAAACCATAAATCTGTTTCCAAGTCCTCAATATGTAAGAAACTGTGTAATTTAAAGTAAACTAAAACTGGTGGTTTTGCTAATTTAAAAGCCATATGTAAATTACTTGTGGAGATTAACAACCTATTAAACTGAGAGGATTATACATGCAATCTGAATTTTCTGCGCATTCCACTTTTTATGATTATCATGCCATTCTGGACATGCTATTCTGGACATTGAACTGGAACAAATCTTATTCATACATTTAGCATATTAATGAAGCTAAATATCAGACATTCTCGCCCCTCTGTGGCAAATGCAAACATGCCTGATTTATTGTGGATGTGCTTTTTGCAAGGCAAGAGTTAGCTAATTCCTTTGGGGCGAGTGCCCTTCCTGTCACACTGATCAAAGACTTTCTCTTGATATGAGCATAAACTGCTCCATGCCCCATCACCATCAATGTCTGTGCATGCGTGAGTTTGCGTGTGTTTATGCAAGTGTATGTGTGTGTATATGTGAGGTGAAGTGGGGGTGTTGTGTGTGTGAGTGTGTGTGTGTGTGTATCCATCCCCCCATCACCAGAGGCTGTATTATGCATTGTTGTTGGCATGGCCTACATGCTCACCCAAGCATAGTCCAGTGTGGTACAGTACACACGTCTTCCCATCCCCACTGCCCTCCCCTGTTGTGTCCGCAGGCCTGCTTCATTTACCTTTGCTCCTGAATTAATGCTAGTTAAGTGTCACATTAACTCAAATCTGTTTGCTCGCTTTGTCAACAACACAAACTAGCCTCAGTGTGTGAGAGCCTGGGTTATTTGTGCTTTGATACACAGCACACGCATATGGGCTGAGTTTGTCTGAATGTATATAGGCTACCTAAAGCTGCAACCATCCATGCATAATATCTATCTAAACAAAGTGCAGGGTTGTGCAGGATTTTAACACTATATATGCAGTTTCATCAGCAATGCTGCAGAGGCTACAAGAAAATGCTAAACTTCTCTGCAAAGTGCAGTAGCGGCTGCAGCGCAGGTGTTTCATTCAGTGTTTCAATAGAGGCCAAACCGTGGGCGTGGACTCCCAACTGAATGAGTGCATGGTCTTGTATGTCTGTATGCCTTCACATGTACATGTGTGTGGAGCATATATTTGTCTGCCAGAAGTGAGTGTGTTAAATTCTCTTAGCATGTGTGACGAATGAAGTGGCTGGGAAAGGAGCAGGGTGTTGCGTGGCCTCTCTCGGCCTCTCACAAACTGAATTCTAAAGAGGCTATCGATCTGTCAAGGTCTCGGGTCGTCTTTTGCTCTGCCACTATCTCACTTTCTTATCTAGCTCCCTCTCTCTGTATGTGCGTCTGAGTCTGTCTTTGTATCTCTCTCTTTATATGTTGCTCATTTTGAAAAGAGATGATACAGAATGTGTGAGAGCGTTGCGGCGAGCGGGTGAGACAGATAAAAAAGAGAGAGCATCCCCCACTCGTATGTCTTTCATCCTAATCCGTAGTCTCTGTCCAAGAAAGGGCCTCCTTTTCACTTGTCTGCCCTAAAGCCTCTTATATGTGACCCCTCTGTGTCTCCCTCAGGGCTCTCTCCCACGGCCAGAAACCACGGACACACACGGACACGGACACGGACAAACACACACACTCACACACACGCATCTGTGCATTTTACATAATCGTTATAAACCATACAAGGCTAGAGTTGCATGTTTTTGTGTTGAAACAGTGCAATATAAACTCAAAAATACAAGAATGCATTTTTCTCCCAACACCAGGACTGAAGCTGTGCGATGCCACGATCTGCAGAACTGACAAAGCCTGTTACTACATATTTTTGCCCGAAGGTGAAGACAAATTTACCGCCAGGCTGACTAACCCAGCTGCTCGGAGAGCGCGTGTCTCGTTAAAAGAACTGACCTCAATAAAGATGGACGTTTGGCGCTACGTTACATAACTGACTCAGAATGATCCTAAAGGCTGAGGGGATGTGTGTGTTGCTTTTTTTGTGCTTTCATCTTTCTGGATGAGTGTGTGTGGGGAAAAGAGGTATACGAGTGCATACGCGGGGTGAGAGAGTTTATAGAATTTATGTGCATTTCAACCAGAACACACCCTATCAACAGCATCTCAAAGATAATGTCGATCACTGTGAAATTAATGTATTGGAATTTTTGTACTGGTAAAATAGCCAATACACACAATTCAAATATTATGAAAAGCAAAAAATCCCTCAATTTAATATTTAACTATTGT